CTGCTCCATACCCTCAGACTGCCCCATACCCTCAGACTGCTCCATGTCCTCAGGCTGCCACACATCCTCAGACTTCTACATATCCTCCGACCGCTCCAAATTCCACCCCGCATCCGAACCAAGCACCAGTCTCGCGATATCCTATCCGGTATCCTGCACCATATCCCTACCCTGTACCGAGTCCCACACCATATCCCTACCCTGTACCGAGTCCCGCACCATATCCCTACCCTGTACCGAGTCCCGCACCATATCCCTACCCTGTACCGAGTCCCGCACCATATCCCTACCCTGTACCGAGTCCCGCACCATATCCCTACCCGCCATATCCTGCCGCGCATCCCGCCCCCGCATCCTCGAAGGAAGAAGAAGAAGAAAAAGAGAAAGGAAAAGGAAGAGGAAGAGGAAAAGTGAAAGTAAAAGAAATTGAAAAAGTAAAAGAGAAAGAAAAAGTAAAAGTAAAAGAAAACGAAGAAGAAAAAGAAAGAGTAAAAGAAGAAGTAAAAGAAAAAGAAAACGGAAAAGAGAGAGAAATTGAAAAAGGCGAAGGAAAAGGAAAAGAAAAAGAATTTAAAAAAGGAAAAGAGAAAGGGAAAGAAAAAGAAGAGGAAGAAGAAGAAGAGGAGGAGGAAGAAGAGGAAGAAGAAGAACAAGAAGAAGAGGAGGAGGAGGAAGAAGAGGAGGAAGAGGAAGAAGAAGAAGAAGAAGAAGAGGAGCAGGAAGAAGAGGAGAAGGAGGAAGAGGACGACGAAAAGAAAAGGAAGAAGAAAGGCGACAAAGCTAAAGATAAGAAAACGAGCGGCGACTTAAGAATATCAGGAAAAAAAGTTCATTTTCCTCAGGTAGGCCACTGAGTTAAGTAACTGCCGGCATCATCTAAAAGTCTAGAGGTATGGAAATTCTTTCAGCCTTTATGTATATTGGAGTGTTTAGCAGCAGTGGCGATGAGAAGCTAAAGCTCCTCGGACACGTGGCCACACTTGTCTTCATACTGACGTTTCATGGGAATTTGTAGATTGCAACTGTTGTGATATCCAAATAACTAGTGTGCCAGTCGTGCCAGTTGTTGTGACGAGGATATATCTTCCACCAAGATGCAAAATGCAAAATGCAAGAGGAAAAATGCAACCATTGCGAACTAGTCACACTTTTTAATACATCAGTAGGGTGAAGGAAACCAAGTTCACTATTAAGGCACCTGTCTAAAGCTTCTTGGAGATGTGATTAAAGCGAGATTGGTAGGACAATTTCCTGACAAATAGGCTCTTTACACGATCCGGTCACATCATACGGCATTAATTATTCTGGGACGCAAATTACACCGTGGGACTTTTAAAACAAAGGAAAGTCGGGCTGGACCGGTACGAGTTCCTTTTTTTT